ATATTATCGGCATTGTATCTGTATTGTAATTTGAATCAGGTTGATAGATTCTGTTTTATCTATTTTTCTAGGCCTCCCCTTTGCTTATCGTGTTGACTCCCGCATTTGGATATATCTTTTCTTGATTTTACCACATTGTGGATCACACTGGTCCATCACATCAGCCCATTTAGATGCCGTGTTTGTGTACAACTTTTAGCCACTAAAAATGCAATTCGGAAAACTTATTACTAATTTAAGGATATATTGATTTAATTTTGACAGATTTGGAACTAAAGAAGCGGAGGCGTTGCAGTATGTATCATTATCAGATTTGTTGTTGATGTAATTTGTGATGTTACATTTGAATAATTATGGATGAATAAAATATAATCAAAATATTAAATTCATTTATTCATGGTATAATTCACGGACCTGCCAAGTCCATAATTGTATAATGAGACAGATTTGATTTGACGAGTGAAGATATTTAACCAATGCAATGATGGTTTATGGACGGTCTCAAATTTTCTTTCTTTAATGGGCCAGATTAGGATTAGTCAGACCTAACCCATTGCCCAATGCCCATTCCCTTCTAAGGGATTATTTATACGGAGAGTTCGCGACTTTTTTCGACCCGAATAATGGATTAATAATATTTTTATCGATAAATTTTTAAAATATAATTTTATTATCTAAATTTATATTATAATAGTAAATAAATAATAAATTCAGTTCAAACTATTATGATTTTTAAAGAGAAAAGACTAATGAATCTTTTGATGGTGAAAGATTGGATTTTAATGGTTGAGATTGATTGGAATTTGAATTGGAAGAGGTAGCTATGCAAACCTTAATTGCTCGATTGTCCGTAATTTGTGGGGTCAACGACAAGAGTAGAGTTTGAGGGATTTTGATAAGTGATGATCAATGAAAAGAATGGTGGTGGTGTAGGATGGCAACAATGTCAAAATCAGAAACAGAATATAAATTTTGGTAATAAAGTCGTAATTTAAAAGTTTGTGGGCAGAAAAATGTTATTAAGTCATTACTTGAGTGGGAAAAAGTCATTTTACTCTTTGAGTAATGCTATGCCAACAACCCATACTCACAACATTCTTTTGCAACCCTAATGTGCCAACAGATTGACATTATCACGTCAGCTCTCACCACACCCAAGGCACTACAAGAAACAAATGGTTGTTCCTTCGGAAAGAACAGTTGTTCGATATGAAGGAACAACCGTTCCTTCTTAAGGAATAAAAATCCCCTATGAAGGAACAACGTTGTTTCTTGTTGTTGTTGGAACAATATCGTTCCTTCATAAAGAACAATCATTCATTCTATGAGAAACAGTCATTTTTTTATAAGGAATGACTGTTTTTTTTATATAGTCAAAGTTATTTTATGTCTTGGGTGTGGTGGAGCTAGGGGTGTTCGGTTCCGGGTACCTTACATTTTTTGAAGGAACTGACCGTTCCTTGAAATTTGGAACCAGAATCGGAACCGACGGTTGCGGTTTCTAGGTACCCAGAACCAAAACTTGTAACAACAGTTCCGGTTCTGGTTCTGGGTACCCTATAAAATTACAAGTACCCCCCAAAAGTTTTTAAATGGAAAAAAAAAACCCTTAAAAACTTATAAATACCCCCCCAACATATGTTAACAAAAATAAAATTACAAATTATAAATTCAAAATTACAAACTTCATTACTTTGTAAAGGTTGATTCTCAAAAGTCAAACCAACTTACTTTAAATGTTATGAAATATAAATATAAATATATTCACGTTACTTTTTCTACAAAAGTTTTTATTAATCCTCTTACTCTTTAATTTTATTTTATATTAGTCTCGATTCCTGGATCCGGTTCCAAAAATTTGAAACTAGAACCTACTCATTGATGACTGATTTCGGGTAAGAACTGAAACCAAACCTCGGGTATTTGTCGATTCTAGTTCCAATTGATTGTTTTGAACACTTTTAAGTGAAGCTGCTGTGACAGTGCCATGTCTGTGTTTAATTTCTACTCTATTTGCTTTATAAATTTGTTAAGAATATTAATTAAATGAAATAATATATATATATATATATTATATATTTAGTAGGTAGATCATAGATGATGATGGGGATCCAAAAGGAATGTTTCCATTTGAGCTAAATGAGCCAATTGCGTTGTTGGAACGTGGCCTTGCTTAATCTTTTATTGGTTTGTCTTTTAAAATAATTGCTACACAGTCTACCACTCAATGTGGTCGACTCATCATTAACTACAAAACAAAACAAAAGTGCTTCCATGCTTTCTTTTCAACACTAATAAACAACTAACAAATCAAACCAATAATTCATTCAACATGCATGGTTGATGTTATTTGGCTACACTCAGCACCTTCGTAATTAAAATCGGCATTAGTTTGGGTAAAGGGCAGTGAATTTTCAAATCATAAATGGAGAAAACTATTAAAATGTCAAAAAGAAATAAGATAGAAGATGAAAAAGACCACCCACCTAGGTCCCAGTACCAGTAAGAAGCAATCATACAACTCAGCTTCTTTCGACTGGTGCTGAGATGTAAAAGCATGGTGAATGATTTCACTCAAACCTCACTTTTCTTTTAATAAAGCTATTCAATATTAATGTTGTTTTTGTTAGCTTTAGATAATATTCAATATTAAAGGGAAAAATGCGATAGTATTATTTTTGGTTCAACTGTACTTGTAAATTAAATTCCAAATGAAGTCAACTGCAAACAGGGTATCCACGTAATTTGGATCTCACACTAACCATGTAAAACAATGTCAACACTACTTCACAAATGCTTATATATATATCATCTCAATGTTCCTTTGCTGCATTCATAACGTATAGCGAGCTAGCTTATCCCCTGTATAGAGAATCTCTCGTTCTCCGGTGATTATTAGTAATGGCGAAACTCGCTTTAGGAAGTCACCGTGAAGCCACCCAGTCCGACTGCATCAAAGCCCTAGTTGTTGAGTTCATTACAACCTTCCTCTTTGTGTTTGCCGGAGTTGGATCTTCCATGGCTGCTGGTATATTTATATATAGACTTGCAAATCTTCATTTTTACTTTGATCTTCTTCAAACTCTGATATTTTTCTATACTTGCTTGCATTCCTGGATCATTGGCTTTGTTGTTGTTGTGTGTGTATATATTTTGACTATTACTTAGAAGATTTTTAAGGTTCTTCATGTGAGCTGTGAGTGTTGAGTTTTAACGTGGTAGGATGAACAGACAAGTATTCAGATGGGAGTGGCCTCGTGGGGTTGTTTGCTGTGGCTGTGACACATGATCTCTGCTGGCCACATATCCGGCGGTCATCTTAACCCTGCTGTCACTCTTGGCCTCTTTGCCGGCGGTCACATCACTTTATTCCGACCATTCCTTTATTGGATAGACCAATTGCTAGCGTCTTCAGCAGCATGTTTTCTTCTCAATTATCTCACTGGAGGAATGGTAAGTCCAACTATTATCTAAAAAGAGGTTTGACATTAACTTTGTGAAAACTGAAAATTAAGATTAATCCGATAGTTAATTGACCTTGAAATAACTATTTTTAGATAGTTTGACGGTTCGTTTGAGATTCTTGGGTGTATTACTCAAGAAGTCTTGAGTTTAAATCCCTATAACTACTAATCAGAAGTATTCACTACAGACTTACCTACCTGTTAACTTTAGGACTCTGGAAGAGTAGTTGAGGTGCCCGTAAACTAATCCGAACACCATTGGAAAAAAAAAAAAAAAAAAAAAATTCCTTGAACTGGAATATTATAAATCATGTTCTTCTTTTCTATCTCCCAACTAATTATTAGGTTGTTTTTTTTTATCAGATTATAAAAATATATAATCTAAAAAGAAACAATTTAAACCACATTATTGTACCAAAGAGGCAAAGAGTGACCTGGAACCTCGTGGTTTTTTATATAATATTTTGTCGTTATATGCATAATTTCAAATGGCATTTTCTTCTTTATGTTGGTGCAGACTACACCAGTACATTCACTTGCGAGTGGCGTGGGTTACCTTCAGGGAGTGATATGGGGGATCATCCTTACATTCTCTTTGTTATTCACCGCATATGCAACAATTGTGGACCCCAAGAAGGGATCTATTGATGGGCTGGGCCCAACGCTGACTGGGTTTGTAGTGGGAGCCAACATCCTAGCTGGTGGAGCATTCTCAGGGGCCTCCATGAACCCAGCCCGCTCCTTTGGTCCTGCTTTGGTCAGCGGTGACTGGACCGACCATTGGGTTTACTGGGTTGGGCCCCTCATTGGAGGTGGGCTTGCTGGGTTTATCTATGAGAATTTCTTCATCATCAGATCCTATGTTCCTATTCCCTACGAGGAGTCAACTTTTTAAATTATGACGTGTATTGATGCATGTTATTAGCAATCTCTCTCGCTAAATGTACCAAGTTTGTTTCTGTTTCTTAGCTGTGGTTTCCTTTCCTTGTACTATAAATAATTTGAGGATTAATTTTATGTGATCATGTGATGTGTGCTTCATATATCCAACCAAGATAGCAAAACAAAAAACAAAAAGGTTATTAATTACGTAAAGTTAGACCATTTATTAATTTGGCCTGTACCTGTATCAGACCATCCAGAATCTGATGACCATGTGAAGGAAGTAGTTTCTTGGTGAGTTTACTTAATTGGATTGGATCTAACCGGGTAAATGATAATTCAAGTTTGCAGCACATTGTCACCTTACAAATTTAAGGGCTAACCCACTTACCCAGTGAGTAGTTGAGAAGTTATGCCAACTTAAATTGTACATTCATGATATTATCTACCATACAAAGTTTGAGGGTTAATTGCAAACTCCATCGCTATCTAGGATTGTGGTGTAACGTATACGTAGATCCAAAACACAGTACAGAAGTCATCACTGTTATGTATAGCAAACAAAATCATATGGATTTATTTGGGCTATTACTTGCACTTGTTTCTACAACATCTAACAAAGAGAAATTAAAAATGTCTGCTAATTTATTAATTTTATTGAAAATAATTACTTCTAATCTTCCTGTCTACCCATGAAGGAGACAACACAGGACTCATCTCATACTCCATCTTCGTCTTTGAGTCATTACGATCCGAATAATCTAAGCACGTTTTTTCTTCAGGCATAACTTTAACTCTCCATACCTTAAAAGATTGATCCAAACTTGCGCTGTATACCAAATACCCCATCACTACTTTTGTCATCTCCAAACAAGCAGCCAAACATCTCACAGGCCCTCTATGCCCGTCTAACACAGCCAAACACTCATGAAAACAACTTCCTTCTTCTCTTCTCCACACCCTAATGGTCGTATCCTCTGAGCCACTAAATATCAACGTCTCTATAGCCACTAAGCAGAAAACAGCAAATCGATGGCCTTGTAAGAACCCGCCATGGTTAAACCTACCTGACATCTTTTCTTTCTCCCAAAAATTTATGGTACCATCAGAAGAACCTGAATATAGAAAGCAATTGCTGAATGATGAACTTAAGGCTAAGGCGTTTACCGGTGATTGTTGGAATTTCAATGTCATGGTGAGTGTATGAGAGTTTTCTCTATATACTCTCCTCCATATTTTGACAGAGCCATCAGACGAGCAAGTGAAGACACATCCATCATCTTGGTTCACCACCACTCCATTTATATTGCTTTCATGGGCCACAAACGAGTCAACACATTTTTTATCCAAAACCCTCCAAGCCTTAACTGTTCTGTCATACGAACCCGTATACAAAAGCCCCTCCGCATGGTAATAAGCCATGCAAGATACACAATCTTTATGTTGTTGACTGTTTGTTCTTGGGAATGAAAGAAATGAGCTTCTCCTGGGCATGGTTGAAATCTTTTTGGTCCGAAAAGTAGTGTCTGGTGCTGTGAAGCTCCAAACTCGAATTTTGCAATCTCTATGTGCGGTGAAAAGCATATTACCATGAGCTAAAATGGCTCGGATTTCGCCTGAACTTGATTTGATGCAACCGCGCTCCATGCAGTCTGGCTGCCTCCATGCACGAATACGCTTACTATCTGAGCCAGTGAAGACTATTCCTTTTGAGACTGATATGGAGTAGATATTGCCTTCATGGCGATGAAGGGAGGCAATGCATGTGTAAAGGATAGAAGGAGATGGAGTTTGGAGTGGAGAGAGTGTCCAGGGCGATTCTGGGCTAGGTGGTGGCAATAGCGTGACAACAGTGGAGTGACGAGGGCTAGAAGCCCTTGGCGGGCTAAATTGGAGGTCTTGGTCAGACATATCTTCATGTGTTTTGATGGTAAGGTTAGTCGGTGATTGTATTGGGTTTCTTTCTTCATCCATGAAGCTAAAGAGAGTTTTCTTGCCATAAAATTCCATGGCATGAATGAGATGTGAAAGATAAAAGAAAATGGAACTGCGTTGAGAGGATTATATGAAGAGTGATCTATTGGGGATAGAGAATTGAGATATGTATATATATATTAGAGAGCTAGAATTATAGGTTTGAGAAGGCATTGATGCGGTTGGTGCGAGTTGTGATGTTGAGCAATTAAGAAGTGATTTAGCTGTTGTTATTTGCCATTAAAGGACGGTACGCCAAGTGAAAGCTATGGTTGACATAAATTCATTAGTAGCTAGATATCATAATATAACTTAGTTGTATTACACAGACCATGATACTACTTCCCACCATATTTTTTTCATCTCTTAACTTCTTATATACACGTCATACTTCAGAATCTATGATGAGCACAAACACTTCAAATTGCAAATTTGGGAAAAGTTAACAATATTAATGTCATAAATTTTTCATCTTGTTTTCAATGAATATAAATTATGAATGTGTTTTAGCAATTAAACTTGTTCTTACAAATTATTTATTACCCAATCTTACGAGGGCTCAAGTAAATGGCACAGAGAGAGTCCAACAATAATTGAGGATAAACCCCATAATATAACCACTTACTTAACGAGCAATGAGAACCTCTTAAACATTTGCTAGTTGGCTCTCTTTCCATGATGTTTCACTTCCACCTCTTAAATGGCGGCATGAATCATGAACCAAGCCACTACAGCAATGAACCTACTACTAATTAAGTTGAAAATGATACCTAGAATCTTGCCTCAAACTAAGAACCCAGCTTTATGAATATCTAGTAATGATACTCAAACTATATATTCTACAAGGGACCGCCATTTATATATGCACATGCATAAAATTTATTTCATTCTTCACCAATGCATTGCAAGTATCTGGAGTTATTGTTAGGTAAGGATTCAACTTCTCTGCTGTCTTATAATAATTGTGTTTAGAGAAAAAACCTTATGGGTTCCTGTATATGACTGAGGAACAATTATATTGTAAAGCAAGGGGGGAGAGCCATTGAAGCCGGTGGTTATGGCAATAAGTACAGAATTGATATGGCTTTGGGCGCGTAGTAGGAAGTAGGGACACCAGAAATTGTAAAGGTAATAAAAATGGGTTAGCTGTTAGGTTTGACTGGTTGTATGCAGCAATTACATTTGATTAAGAAAGACAACCACTTTGTTGGGGTCTCAATAAAATCCCCAAGCATTCACATGTACTTATAAAATTACAAACGAAATCCACCAAACATTTACAAGAAAAAGAAAGTGGTCCTCATCCTTGTGGAATATAAATTATATATATATAACACCACGTCTTTAGGGTCTAAACTGAATGCATGGCACCTGGTTGTGTTAGAGTTGTCGACTAATTCAACATTAATGGGTTACGCAGATGCATTTGGGGGTCTCCTTGCTCGGTGAGTGGGCATAGGTTGTGGGGCCAACAGCCCTGGGCTCGTAGGCGGTTTAGGCCTTTTCTATGTATAACCGCGGTAGGATTTTTTTAAGTCATTAATTCTTTATTGGGTTTGGATTTAGCAATAGGAATCCTTATAAAATTAGGTTTTATCACTTTAAACTTAGTATATAAACATATTTTTCTCTTGTTATGAGTGTGATAACAATCATAGGATAATTCATAAATTGTAAATAAGAGAGATGAAAAAGTATTGCAATAATATTAACTCAGTTAGATATAGTCTATATTAAGTGAATCAGGATAAATCACGTTTAATATTTTTTATCTATTTACTATTTATAATTTGTTTTACTGTTATTTTGTTCCCGTCTTTATCTCTATTTCGTTCAGGTTGTTGGTGTGCCCTTTCTGCTGTTTGGCAGCGTGGTGGTATTATTAACCATATAATTGTGTGAAACAGATGGATGCTTGGAATAAGTTTATACTGTTTAACTGATGCCAAAAGGTTATGAGGTCATGAATGGCGTTATCCAATTCCGTGATATCCACGTATATCAGCAGCTGCTCTTCTTTGACTTTTTGATCACCTTATTACTCGGTTTCAAGATGTTTCTCGTTAAATTCATATTAAATTCAAGGGGAAGAGAGAATTAACAACTAGCTAGCTAGCCTGAGAAGTAAAGAGCCCTGACATATCAAATTATACATAAAACAGATTCTATTATGAAAAACAGATATAGAAAAATTATTGACTTCCAACAGTAATGGATCACCTTAAGCTTTCCCACAATCTGTCTTGATGTATAAATTGCAAACGTGCAAAAATTTATGCAGTCATCATATATTCATCAATGTTTTCATATGCGGACCGGGCCACAACTCGGTCAACGGGTCAGTCTCTAGGTCGGATGGTCCGGTCTATGCAACAAGCAGATCGAACAGATGACACCATACTACGTAATAAAATTTTAAAACTATAATAATTAATAAAAATGCTAATGTCAGTATGCCATCAATTGAAATTGAAAATTTGAAATTGCATTTTATTAACCTTGTTTAGCTATTGATTCTCTAATCTAACGGTTGAATTGCAGTTTAATATTGTTCCTATCGATTTAACTTTGGGTTAATCTAATCCCATTGCTAAAACAGGTTTTATCCATTTAGTAGACTAGATTAGAGACCAGTTTCCGATTGGACCGATGGTTTTAAAAACATGATATTCATACTAGAATAGTGAGAAAGAATATGGAATAATGCAAATGGGAAAGGAGCAAAGCATTAAATGGTCGCTGATCAGTGGTGTAAAGACAGTGTAATATAAATAATATAAAATACATACTGTGTACCAAAAGTGGACGATCAGTGTTAATGTAAGGTGTAACCCAACACCAGAATTGAACTTAGTGTGAATGTACGTTAACTCAGTAGTATAATTGAGTCATCAAATTAACATGAAATGTGGTTATGTATGTATTCTGTTAGGTATACAACCCTTTGTCTGTAGAGCGTTGACTGTTAATTATAAGACCAAGAGAGATTCACAAAAAAAAAAAATAAAAAAAATAAAAAATTGTTTTACGAAGAAAAAGAAGTCTACGAGCAATCATAGAGAAATTTCATGGCGCCTTCAGTTTGTGGAAAACAAGGCCTCCTGCCTCATTATTTATTATCTCGTCAACAACCCGTATTTCTAGTACCCCAACTATTATTCCCTCCCTCACCTATCTCCAAACATGGACAGACGCCTCTATGATACCATTCTCAGAGGAGATGTAAAAACCTTTCTTAGTATCCTTCAAGAAGAGCATTTTGAAGATACAGCAAAACAAACACTTCCACAATCTTTAAAAACAATCCTACACTTAACAGCCCGTTTTGGGCATGAGGAGTTGGCATCAGAGATTTTGAAGTTGTGGCCGGAGATGGTGTCGGCTGAGAACGAAAAATTGGAGACTCCGCTGCATGAAGCATGCAGAGAAGGGAGACTAAACATTGTGAGGTTGTTGGTGGAGAGTGATCCTATGGTTGTTTATAAGGTAAACAAAAACAATGAGAGCGTGCTGTTTATGGCATGCGAGAGAGGAAAGCTTGATGTGGTGAAGCAGCTTTTGGGGTATCCATGGTTGTTGATGTTCGAGATGGATAGCTCCACTACTTGTCTTCATGCTGCAGCTTGGGCAGGGCATACAGGTAACTAATTCGCAGTGGTTCATCTGATCATTAATACGTGACTGGACGCTAAACGTTGACCAAGTACTATCATTAATTAACTTAATTAATAGATGTTAGAATCAATTTTAATTATTGTATTCCTTTAATTGCGGTTATTATAGGACGGTCAATTTTTTGTTGCCTGCTCTAAATGATAGAATTAGCCGGATTTTTAGAATTTTTCTACATGTCGCAGACATTGTGAAAGAGCTTCTAACGGCGCGGCCACAATTGGCGTGGCAAAAGAACTTGAATGGGGGCACACCTTTGCACATTTCTTGCGGCAAAGGCCACCTAGACATAACCAGGGAGCTTCTAAAGGTAGACCCTGACCTCTCTTCTTTACAAGACAATGAAGGTCGAACACCACTCCACTTGGCTGCTATCAAAGGCCGTATAAATATTATTGATGAAATACTCTCAACCAGTCTTGAGTCAGCTGAGATGAGAACCATTTCTGGAGAGACGGTTCTACACCTTGGAGTAAAGAATAATCAGTATGAAGCGGTTAAGTTCCTGATGGAGACTCTAAACATCACGAAACTTGTTAACATGCCAGATAACGATGGCAACACTATCTTGCATTTAGCAACTGCTGGAAAGCTTTCTACTGTAAGTTCCTTGCATATTTCTTCAATTCATATTCTTTTAGGAATTAAATACTCTGACATCATTCTACAAGCGTTTTAATGTTATTTCACTGGAGATTCTGCTGCCAAATTTTATAGCTGAAATATGTTATGTTTTGTGGCCTCTTCTATGTCTTTGTTTCGAGGTTAGATGGTCATCTACATACTGAAGCTTGGCGTTAATGTAAACGCAATAAACCGCAAGGGATACACCGCTCTTGATGTTGTTGAATGCGATGCAACTAATTCTGGTGTCCTTACGATTTTACCTGCATTACAAGAAGCAGGCGCTAAGAGGTGTGACCAGTTGCCACCGATGTCACAAGAAATTCAACCCATACAAGATAACTATCCATACACACCACCTTTGAGGCCGAAAAAAGCTCCTGAATCTCCAACCCGACATCAGCGCCATCGTCATCGTCGTCGCCGAGAAAAGCAGATTGAGCTACAAAACGAGGGTCTACGCAATGCGCGCAATACAATCACGGTTGTGGCGGTTTTAATAGCAACTGTTACATTTGCGGCTGG